TCATACTTAGTTCTGCCTCAGTGGAAATGCACAGGAATTTGTGACCATTGCAACTCTTGGAGCTGTGCTCATATCAGCCTTTGCGCCTCCAGAAGCAGCACTGGGGCCATCTGGGCTTTTACTGATGACCATCTGCAGCCTCTCTTTGGGCTGTTGTTGGCCTGGGATGTCCTTGGGGCTGTGAAATGGCATCACTGCTGCTCTGAGGCTGGGCACTGGGAATGCTGGAGGAAAGGGGTGGGCTCCTGGTGCTTCCTAATTGAGTCCTGTCCAGCAACAGCAGCCCCAGGCTTTGGAGCAAGATGCAGAGAGGTCAGTGCTGGCAGGGAAAGGCTGGGCAGGTTCCTCAGTTCAGGCCCCTTGGCTGTTCACAGCCACAGGTGAGGAAGCAGCTGCTAAATAACATGCAGTTTTTTCTACTTTATAGTACACAACTACAGTTCAGCCTTGTCTGCAAGCAGTTCCATCTGTTCTGCTTATGCAAAAAGGGTTGTTGGAGCTGAAGAATATTGATGAGGTGTTTTTCTAAGGCCTGGCTGGAAGGTGCACTGCCAGCAGGGGAATTCAGCAGGGCTCATCCCCCTACATGCCCTGCTGCTGGGGCACGTTCCTGGCTGGGAACAGCCCACGTTGCAGAGCTGTCCTGCCATGTGTGTTACCCTGCTGGTGTGTTTCAAAGATAAACTGCCAGTGAAACAACTTTTTCCATACCATGGCAGATTAATGTGCTTGTGTCCAATGAAGTGGAAAGATCTGGAGAAGTGAAATACTGAAGCAGGTTGTGTTTCTTCAGATTGATTGGACTTCTTAAGATGGGGCTGAGTCCCTTGGCCTGGTGTTGTGATGTAGAGCAGCAGTCAGGTAGAGTTGAAAATCTCTTTTCATCAGTGGTGAAACAGTTTCGTCTGTAGACATGTGGTTGCTCAAGACAAGCTTCTACATGAGCGGGCTTACATTACTCTGGTTCATCACTCAGAAATACAAACTGTGCTCAGCAAAGCTTACAGCATTGAAAGACCGATTGCACGCACTCTAGGTGTGGAAATCTTCAAATAAAGATAGCAAAAGGTAAAATTTGAGCAAGGTATGGAAGGATGCATAAGCTAAGCTTTATTAAGTAATTCCCAAAGTGTACTCAGTTAAAATATTGATGTATTCTAATGAAAAATTGTTCTCTGCTCTCTGTAGGCAGAAGAAAAATGAAATGCAGTATCTTCCATTAGCAACAATCCATAAAATGTACATGGAAGTGCATGTGTCTTTGTGAAGTGACTCTTTGGCACACGAAGCATGCCTACCCTGCAGGCAAATGACTTTTTTGCAGAGAAAAAATGTAAAGCAAACTGAAGTGATTATTGTAACTTGGTCCTGCTTCGTGATAAGGTCACCCCGGATGCTTCTCCCAGCCAGAGGAATTCACATCCTGCTATCAAAGCAGCCATGAAAATACACCCAGAGGTTGAATTCTAAGCCTCAGTTTTATTTCCTCTCGTCTGTCTCTAACCAAATTGTAGGCAAAACAGTCTGGGCAAATGTGTGAGCAGTTCTGTACCTGCCAAGCAGTGCAGGAATTACTCCCAGGTTTCAGCAAGTTCTTAGGAGAAGCTCTGCAGAGATGCTGGAAGCAATTTCTTACCCAACCGCTGCTGCTCACACTGCAGAGGTGACCGTACACATTGCTTCTGTCACCTGCTCCCACTGCCTTACTTGCACTTGCAAGTTGAAGGAGAAGAATATTTAAACCAATGCCATGCTTGTTTTGTGCATTCAGATCTCCCAGGCTGTTAGTCAAGATTTGAGCAGGGCAAAAACAGGGAGTGTGACACGATGTAAAATACTGATGTCATACTTTACTGATGAACACATGCAGGTTTAGTTTTATCACTGTTTTTGTACTCGCAGTCGTCACTATAAAGTTAGTTTCAGTTGAAGTAAAAAATAAAAATGCAGTGTTTGTGAGTGTGAGGGCTTATATTTCACAGTGATACGCTGGGAGGGACTGAGCCAGTGCGATAATGAAAATGTAAGAAAGAAATACAGCTTATATGGTAGAAGACAACTGTAGGAGGGGAGGAAAAACTTCCTTTTTTGCCATTGAGGTGTGTTTAATTTATTGCCTGAGAATAGAAGGAAGAGGTTTTGAAGAGCTGACTGAAGACAAAGCGCTAAAAGGAAACAACAAACGACAGCTCTATTGGGGTGGTCTCCACGTGCAGGGCTCCGTGGCTCTGGGACAAGGCCCAAATAAAACCAAATATGAGGGTTAAACCCCTCAGACTGGCATCCCTCCTTGGTCTCATGGTTTATGTGAGATGACATAGCTTTTTCTCTTCACTGAGTTATAGGATATAAAAAAACTAGCTGGTTAGTATTTTACGCTTGCATCACATCAGGGACAGCAGGGTAGCACAGCAGAAGGGCTCTGGACCTCTGTGCATTTTGTGAAGGGTTTTAGGTGACCTTGAGTTAACAAAATGGTGTGCAATGTACGGGTTAGTGATCAGAGCCCATAACCTGGCTCCTTTTCTTACATGGTTTTTTTCTTTCCTTTTTTTTCTATTGTTCATTCCCTTTCCTCCATTCTAAGCAATTTCTTTCCAGCCTTTCTCTCTTCAGCTTTTTCCACGTTGCTTCATCACCTGCCATCTCTTTCAAAGAAAATAGCCTTCTTCACCTTATTTCTCATTATCTGTTTCTCCTTTCCTCCAGCAGGCATCCTTTTCCATCTCCTTTCTTCTAACAGCAGTTAGCATTCCTCACGTTTTCCTATTCCCTTGGTGTGCCAAAGCTGCCTCCTTCAGGTCTCTCCATGCCACTTGTAATTTCACAGTCATTTCTTCTGTGCTGGGAATGGCTGTAATATCCTCATCCTATTCCATGCTCTTACCAAGTCTCTCACCTTTATTCCCTTTCAGTTTCCCTATGACTTCTGCTAATACGAATTTCCTGCACGTACAAGTGTGTGCACATATGAATTTGTACAGATATGAAGAAAATGTCAAGACATGTCAAAAGAAAAGATATATGTGTGTATGGAGCCAGATGAAACTCAGGGCAGCCTGGTCTAGTATCAGATCTGGAGGTTGGTGGCCCTGCCTGTGGCAGCAGGGTTGGAACTTTGGTGATCCTTGGGGTCCCTTCCAAGCCATTCTGTGAGATTAATTGAAGTCGGTCTCTATAAATCCCATTAGGTATTTTTTAGACTCTGCACTGTCCTGACTTGAACCTGTAGATTTTCACAGGAAGTTTTGAAACCACAATGAACAACTTAAACCCACTTGTGTTGAATGTGCTGGTAACTGCAGCTTGCTTAACACTGCTATACAGTTGTGTGCTTAACACCCACAAGGTCAGCCTTCACTGTTTGATGCGTTGGCACTTCTTGTGATCTGGAAGAGCATGAGATTGCCTTCTTCCCACCCCAGCCTCCCTTCCTGTCAGTAAGGGAGAATTCTGTTCTCTGATGTGTCGTCTTTGTTCAGCTATTGCATTTCCACTCTGGCTTTTGAGAGCTGTCTAGTCACTAACTTTTATCACTTCTCAGCTTTGGTGTTGACTTTCTTGTTGCTTACTGATGAGGGAAGGTCTTTAACTATAATAAACTATTGCAACAGTGCCCAAATTCCATTGCCCACCTGTTTAAATTTCATATATTTCATTTGTAATTAGGCTGCTTTGTGTTGTCTGACCTCTTTGACTAGAATTAAGTTACTACTGCAGGTAGGAGTGCATACTTAAAGGGGAAGCTGAAGTGATGTTGTAAAAGAGGAGGGGCTCCTTCTGTATCAAACCTTGTCTATCAGTAAGAATTACAAAGGTAATCTCATAACCTTGCACATTTTTTCAAGGCACCAATTTAGCTGTTTCAATAATACTGTGCATTGCGCACGCAGTCCGTGGTAATGGAGCAGTTGATGATCATTTTACTGAAGACGGTTTGGGGGGAATTGCTAGCTTTTATGCCAAGCCATCTTTGGGTATAAATGGGATATTATAGAGTATAGCCATGCAAAAAAAGGATTTGGGGTACAGGTGATGGCAGCTGGATGTGGTACTCAAGGCCAGTGGATGGTGCTCTGAGCACCTGCTCTAGTGTAGGTGTCCTTGTTCATGGCAGGGAGTTGGACTGGATCTCTTTTATGGGTCCCTCCTAACTCAAACTGTTCTATGAGTTATGTCAACTGAAAGCTGCCACTGATTTTTGAAGTTTAAATAATGTCAAATTGACACTTACTAAGCACTGGAATATTTTTTGGCGTTAGCTGCGCTGTTGGGGAAGCAGGCTTGACAGGTAAAAAGGTAAGTCAGAGAAGAGGTGAGGTTAAGAGAATCCAGCATGAGATGCTTCTCAAATATTTTTCCTTCTTGTTGGAGAGCAATCTCCTGAATAAAATACACGACTATTTTTTCACTGCTTATCAGTTTCCAGAAAGCCCGTGCAGAAGCAGGTTGGATTCATTCAGATTCAGTAACTGTGGGCATAATTTGAATTTCCCTTGGGCTGAAAGCGACCTTTGGTGTCTGGGCAGTGAGCCCCTCACTCACTCACTCAGCATACAGAAGAGTTTCCCTCACTGTTTACCCTCAGTGTAATGTCGTTGTCTAATATGCTTAAGCATGACTGCTCTCTTACTTGTATTTGCTCAGCTTTCTGTCAGGTCAGTACTTTGAAAGGCCTGCTCTCAACGCCATTTCAGTATTTAGATAAGAGTATCTGGCGTTGCCTTTTAGAGCAACGTGTCTGCTGCCTATCCTGTTCTCCCCATCAGTTTTGGCTTTGTGAATGGGGTGCTAATTGGCCCCAGTAAGAAGTATGAGCTATTGCTTTACTCACCTGGCTTTTATTGTGCTTTTGAAAAGTTGAAAACAGTGATACAGATCAGTTCTGTTGATGGCTTCTTTTTTTCTCTATTGCTCTTGAAATCCAATCTGTCTTACCCATTGCGTTAAGGGAGCAAAGCTAACAACCAAAATGAATATCTTCCTGTCTTCTCTTTTAGATAAAATCGAAGATGAATTAGAAATGACTACGGTGTGCCACAGACCCGAAGGCCTGGAACAGCTTGAAGCGCAAACCAATTTCACTAAAAGAGAGCTTCAAGTGCTTTACAGAGGATTTAAAAATGTAAGAACAGCACTGCAGTGAACTGAATCCAGTATGTGTGTCTCCACCAGCCCCAATTGCTCAGCTGTGTTTTGTATCATTCTCCTGCTACCTACCAGCAGTTCTGCACTGCATCTCCTCTACCACAGCAAAACGAGCTCACAATCTACCTTTCCATCTAATATTGATGCCCCCATAATCTGCTTAAAATGGGGATTGCATGAGCACATCACGCTCGTTACATTTACTCCCTAAATGTCACTAAACGTGCTGCAAATTCCTCAGCTGTGCCTATGCTTCAAGATAATCCACAAATGTTTTCATGTTTATTTAATTTTTGCTTGCTCGATTCATGCTGCAGTTGAGCTGTGTTGTTTGCTTGGGATGCCTGGGATATTTTTTTTTTTCCCCCTTTCCCTATCTTGGATAATTCTTGCTATTTGAGTAGGATGTTATTAGAGCATGTTAGGACTACAAAGTCCAGGGTAAGCAGGGAACAAAGCAGGAGCCCAAGAGACCTCAGAAGGTAATGGGTATCAGGGTGAGGGGTAGGAGACCACAGTTTAGGTGAAAGGGAATGTGTCAGCTGTCACAGCTGCATGCACACAGCAGCAGCATGCTGGTCTTCATGAACCTCAGCCAGAGCCAATTCTCCCTGGTAGGGTTGGTCTCCACAGGGCTGTGAGCCTCACCATGTAGGTCCCCTGCTGCTGCCTTACAGGGACTCGTAATAAACAGAAATGGGATTTTGAGGCTATGTGGAACAGATGTGTTATGGACCTTGAATGCTGAAGAGTCATTACGTGACTACCTGAGGGTCTGAGTCACAAGGGTGTTTTGTGTCAGGTAATGCTTTGATGGTGATTAATGAGTTGTTATTGCACTAGCTTGATAGATGCCATGTGGTTTTTAAGTTGCTCTGTTGGACAGTTGCAGTACTTCAGCTACTGTCATAGCAAAACACTGTAAGTTCTTGTAAAGTCAAGTCCATTGGTTGAAGACTTGCCATAAAAAAATTAAGCCACCTTAAATGCGAGTCTTGTTGAGGGAAACCTGCTGGATGTTGTGAAGGTCCTTTCTTATTTTTGACATTCTTGAAATTTGGTTGCATCCTATCTCCTGCACATACCTGACTTCTCCAGCTCAGCACAGCTGCCTGTACCTTGGTTTATTGCATGCATTGTGCTTGTGCAGCTTTTGCTGGACTTAGGGAGGACCTCAGTCTGACCACTGAAGATGGACCTTATGAGACCTCATTGTGCTTTGGCTGGTCAGGTACAAAACATACAGCTTTGAAGACAAAGCTGAATAGGTTAATACAAGGTATAATGCGATATAACCCCCTACAATGGGGAACGGAGCTCAATGCATTCCTAACTGCTGTGTTTTCATATGTTGCTGACATACCTTTCTTGCTGTGTATGGGAGCCCAGTGCAGGGCACCATGCTGAGAGGGAGAGGTTGAGTCAGCAGCCCTGATGCAAACCAGAGGCACGTGAGCCTTGCAGCTCTCAGCAGACTTGGGGTTTATCCTTTCCCCCTCCCCCTGCCCTCCAGTTTTGCTATCATTTTGCAGTACAGAGGCATTACCTCTGAGGGAAAGAATAATGATAAAAGTGCATTTAACTTGTGTGTTCGACCCTTCTGTAAGACCACACTGATGGTCTTGGTGTTCATTGGCAGTGCTGGCACGATCCTGGCTTTGTCAAGTCATTAGGAAAGCAGCGTGTTTCCTCCAGCTGCTGTGTACGCAATGTGCATGAAGCTTTAATATTTAAAGTTTAAACTGAAAGGGCAGCTTTAGCATTTCTAGCCTATAAATCATGGTTTCAATAGAATGAGTAATTAGGCACAGTAGGCAAGCTATCTCAGCTGTTACCATATTTCCCCTTGTACCGAACCGTGTGCTTCTCGGGATGATGTTACAGTGCCATCTGGAGATTCAAAGGCCCTGTGGGAAAACAGTCATTTTTCTCTCCAGCTCGTGCTGCTTGCTCTCACTGATTGCACAGGTCGTGTTTAATCACAAGGCAACAGCTGGGTTACCACAGGGCCAGCTGCAGGCACTTGGAATAGCACAGGAGGAATGAGGTCCTTCCCAGTCCTGCTGTTTTCATACTTGGTTGGGTGGTCGTGTTCACAGACATGCAGCCAAAGGCAGCTCAGCGCAGCCTGGTATTGCTTCCAGGCAAGTGCCCTGTCTGACCAGGGTCCTAATTCTCCATGCTTTTCTTTCTTAGTGTTCCTTTGTCTCTGAAGCCTTTCCCTACACACCTGGGCAGGGGACAGCACAGGCAGTGAGGGGCACTGGGAGGTGCATCTCTGCTTTCCCTGAGCCCTGTGAAAAACTGAGGGGGTTCTGGGCCAACAGGACTGGCAGAAGGGATTGATCAGGTGACAGCAAAAGTTGCCAGCTGCTTGAGCAAAAGCAAGTTCTGTGAAAGTACGGGATTTTGGGGGGAGAAAAGACATGTGCAGCTCCAAGGTTCTAGAGGAAATCAAGTGATTCTAATCCTTCAGACTTGCTGATAGGCTTTCGTGTCTTCAGTTATGTTTCTGCAGCCAGTAAAGCTGCTAACTGAATAGTTATAAGCCTGTTCTTTTTCTTCTTTTATTTCTGTCCTTACAAATAAATGCTGGCTACTCACAGTGCTCTAAGACAACAAATCCTGAGACAGAAAATGATAAATTCTGATATACACCATGCACCCAGGGCTGACCCATAAGGGTCTCTGGGCTGAGAGCTGCCCTGGGAAGGTGGTGGGGAAGGAGGGGAGGGCAGAATTTTGTTGAGGAGGGTGGGCAACAGCCAGGAATGCAGCTGGGATGGGCCGTGAGCTCAGGCTCCTCCTGGTGTGTGATTGCTCAGATCTGTCGTTTCCACACTGGACTGGTGGAGGCTTGCACCAAACTGCATCTCAGCCACTCCAGCAAAGCCGAGCACAGCAGCCAGACTGGCTGCATGACATGAGATGCTTGGGCTGAGGGCTTTGGCTGTAGCTCTGCAAAAAGCAAGATAACTGAAGCAGCAAGAAGAAGAGTCTGGTGGGTCTTACCTTGGTTCAGCTTAACAAAATAAAACATGGTTGTTTATACATACATGGGAAGAGAGAATTGTTTGAGCTAGAAAGCAGTGTTGGCATGGGGTGCAATTAGAGGTTTCTGTTCCCCAGGTGAGTGAGTGATGTTTGGGGAACCATTAATGAACGGGTGGGATGAGAAATTGTTTGTAAGATTCAAATTGATAAATTGTTGATGTTTAAGGGATCACCAACAACAGAGCTTTTGGCTCGGTAATTCAGTATGTCCTTTTTGGACTTTCTCATTACTTGTATTCTTTGGATTGAGTGCATGAATTTAAGACGATTGGGATCTTCATGGGATTTTCTGCTTTCTTCAGGAGGTTCTGCCCTATTAGGGAACAGCTGCTAGCTGCAAGGGACACTGCAAAGACTCAATGAGAGAACAGCAACCCCAAATAACTCAGGAACTGTTGGGAACACTCTGGCTTTGCTGTAGCATGACTATTTTAGCAAATATGCAGTATGTGAATGAGTTTTCTGTGAGACGGGATGACTGAAATAAGTCTGGGTTTGAAGACCAAAGCAAGAAGTGTGAATGAGATAAGGAAGTTCTGGTATTTTCATAATGCCATAAATATACTGCTGGCTCTGAGAGAACACAAGAAAGGCAGCAAAGTAATTCCTGATTCTAGCAGAAGAACCCCAAGTGCAATTTTTCTTTGATTTTTTTTTTATTTCAAAGTGTGGTTTTCAGCTCCCTTGTGGTTTAAGGAGAAGTCAGAGGAGCTCGATCAATACACTTTGGATTGAGTGCATGAATTTAAGAGGATTGGGATCTTCATGGGATTTTCTGCTTTCTTCAGGAGGTTCTGCTCTATTAGGGAACAGCTGCTAGCTGCAAGGGACACTGCAAAGACTCAATGAGAGAACAGCAACCCCAGATAACTAAGGAACCTAAGGTGCTGTCAATGCCAGTGCTTGGTAGCTAAATTTTGGGAACAATACCAACCAAGTGTTCACTTCTCATGTTAGACACTTTGAAATAATTCATAGGTTTAAAAAAAAAAATGAGGTGTTTACCTGAAATTTAACCCACTGCTGTCAAAGGAAGGCCTTGTGTGTATTAGAGTGGAAGGTGCTTTTTCATGCTGCTATGAAATTTCTCTTGCATGAGGAAACCTGTGCTGCCTTCTGTGGAATTTCAGCTGGCACAGAGCTTACCTGCTCCTTTCCACAAGAGGGATTTCTTTGAGTCAGCTGCCTTAAGATGTGCTGTAGCACTAATGAGGCCTCTTGAGCTTTATTCGACTCTTACAAAACAAAATGGTGATCAATTAAGTGTAAATGAACTGCTACTAGCATATGTGTCTGAAAGCAGCCCTGTTATGTAGAGCTAAGCAGGGCGATCAGTGTCAGCACTGCGCTCCTGGAGGTTTGATGCAAACTTCCATTTGGCTTCCAGATAGAACATCAGAAGCAAGCAGGGTTGTGCGGAAACTCAAAATGTAATCAGGGCCAATGGCCAGACCTGCTGTGAGAGACCTCACCTCTTTGAGAGCAGTGCAGCTCCTCTCACTGTGCCTGCCCAGTGCTGATGCTCTGAGGCTGGGGGCACAGGAACACGAATGGTGGCTGGGGCTGCTGGGATGGCCTGGGGCAAGGGAAAGGTATGGAGAATATAATGCGTAGTCCCTGTATTTATAAACTGTCTTAAAGCATTGCAGTGGCCAGAAAGAAGGCATCTACTGGACTGAAGGAAGGAACTCAGACCTAATTGCATTAATTCCAGTAGCAAAGAGTACAGACTGTGTGTGATTAGGGGGTGCCTCTGGTGTTGCCCCAAGTGCCCCTTCTTGCTCTCCTGTGACTCACACAGGATGGAGCGACTTCTTTATTCTGCCTTCCCATGGTTGGGGAATGCAATGTCAGCAGCAGGCGATGCTGCAGATCAGACGCTTTTTCTGTTTGTAAGCTTTTCTTGATGGCAGAATTTCTCGTCAAGGTCCTTTTGTTCTTGAAAGACAACCTAAACAACTGATCAGTAAGTCAGTCGCTGGCTTGAATCTTCCTCTGACTTTGTGTCACCGATTCAAAGGGATTTTCTCAGGCTTCCTAAGTTTGCTCATCCCAAATTCAACGACCTGTAAGCAGCAGTGAGGAATGGATTCTGTCAGCCGCGCTGGTTAGGTAAAAATATAACTGTGGTTGAACTCAAGCGTGCTCTGTTACAGGATGGATGAGTTTTTAAACAAAGTCATGCAAACAGAGCCTTTAACCAAGATGAGGCTTTGGAGTTCTGAGTCTGTAAATAAAAACGGGAGAGGTTATTTTGTGCGTATGCAGAGGGATGGGCAGTGGCTGACTTCCCTTGGTTTGTGAGAGCTGGAGTTAGGTTGTTTAGATTTGGCATTTGCTTTATAATAAAGCCTCTGGATTGAGGCACATAACAAAGCTAAACCTGGTCCTGAATTTTACTTGGGCTGTCCTGAAGGGCTCTTCTGGTTTCAAGCCTCATACCAATGCTGATGTTTGAGAATTTGCTGGTACGTACCGTTAGCCTCCATGGAGCTGGTGTGAGGGGCAGGACAGGGAAGCGATTGCTGGCAGTGATTTGTAATGTATTAGAGGAGGCCTTCGTGTGACAGAAGGCACGAGCTGGCTGTCCACTCATCTGTTAAAACAGGAATTAAACACTGCTGTGAACCAAGTCTGTGAGATGCTTAAGATGGAATTGCAGCCTGAATTAACTTTAATTTCTTCAACTGCACAGCCCATACATCCAGAATGCTATGGGAGCAGGGATGCGACTAGTATAATTGCTCTCTTTGGGCTTGTACAGTTTTGCAAATGAACCTTAACAGAGCTGGGGTGTGTGTTTTGATTTGGTTTTGTTTCTTTTTTTCTGACAGGAATGTCCTAGCGGGGTGGTTAATGAAGAGACGTTCAAACAGATCTATGCACAGTTTTTTCCTCATGGAGGTAAGCAGGATGCTTTGTCAGGTTCGTTGAAGTGTGACTTAATGCAGGATGTCATCTGGCTGCAGAGCTCTTGGACGCTCTGTGCTAGTTAAGTGAGGTAAGGGCTGCAGGGTCTTACACAAAAACACAACCAAGGTAAGAACACTGATGTAGGCCCTTTGAAAAGCTATTTAACGAGAATAAAGGCAAACCCACATTAAAGATTGCCAGTAGTTGTCAGCCACAGAGCAGTGTGCTGCTATGAGATGGAGTTGTTGCACTTGCTGCTGGAGCTAGTACTGCACTGGCCCCAGAGATACACTTGTGTGCTGCTTTTTGCTCTCATTCTTACAAGCACAGCCCCACAATCCAGATCATGCCCTGTGCAGTACAAGCATTCAGTGGGGTTGGGTTGTGGTTTCTGCAAGTCCATGTTAATATTTACTAGCTCACAGAGTGGCAGTGCTTTAAGGATGGCTTTATACTGAAAGAGTTTGCTGAGAGCCAGTGGTATGTAAGGAGCTGTTGTACCAATTGGTGCCTTTTGTGTTTTCCAGATGCTAGCATGTATGCACATTATCTCTTTAACGCGTTTGACACTGCACAGAATGGCTCAGTGAAGTTTGAGGTAACTGGTTTGCATCCTGTTTTAATGCCCTATTTCTCAGTTCTGTGTGTTTCAGCTTCCCATCCATTTTTCATCGTAAACTATGGGATTTGATGGGCTATGGGCTGGAGGGCTACAACCAGATGAAACGTCAAAATCTCATTCTGTTTAATGCAGGCTTCTTGTGCAGACGGATTGGCTTTCTTCCCTCTGCAGAAACAAACAGATCGTGTTAGTCAGCAGCATAGGAGTGTTAGTGCCACAGGGAGAAAGTGCAGATGGTTTGTGTAGCAGAAAGCACAGGGCAGTGACAGTCCCATGGAGCAGAGACCAGTGAGTGGCACAGATAATGGGGTTGTCAAAGAAAGGCCAGAGAAGCTCACGCTTCCTGCAGCTTGCATGCGTTGCAGGGTTTCACGTGTACGTTCCTGGAATGTATGCATTTTCAAAGCTGATTTGAGCTGTTCAACAAGGATCTCACATAGTTCCTGAGGAATACCAAATCCACCCCATAGCTGCAGCCTGCGTCTGCAAACAGAAAGTGGTGGAAACGCTAGGCAGCCCCGCTTTGTGCCATCGAAGTGGCCAAATCCCCATTAGTTCCAGGTGTGACAGAGAAATTATTTACCAGCTGTGGGAAGGTTGCCATATGGAAGTGCATCTCTGTAGCGATGGCTGCAGTGGGAGTTCTGCCTGTATCAGCCCTTCTGGAGAGCATTAAGAGACTTCCAGAATCCTAAACGGACTGACCCACAGCAAAATGCTTAGACAAGTATATTTGAAAAACGCTGAGCTTTCCTTCCGGGCAAATCCGGCTCTTTGGTGGTTATCACATGTAAGCATTTTGTCCCCTTTTTTGTATTGTTCAGCAAGCTTTAATTTCTCTTGAGTGTGGGTAAAAAGGAACAAAGGTCTTTAGGAAGCAGTGCTCTGCCCTGCGCAGAGCCACTGGAGATGATACAGGGAGGATTAAGTGTGTTAAATGAGACACCAGGTAGAGTATAGCTGCTTTAGCTCGAAGCTCTGCCTGTACTGACAAATACAGCAGTGCTGCTGAGCCACTGCACAGCGCAAACAATAAATCAAAGTTATTGCAAGCAATAACTCCACTCCAAACCAAAAATGCAAACAAAATACCGTGTCCCAGATTGAGTTAGTAGAGGTGGGAACCACACTTGGCTAAACGTGTTGTATTTTGCCAGGGGACAAAACCTGAGCTTCCCTGCGTGGCAGAGAGGTCTGGAGTCTTGCTGGCCCTCTGAGGGTGGGCACAGGGAGGATGCACAGTTGAGTACTTGAGGACTCTTGGGGTTTTCCCAGTTCCCTCTTACACGTTTATTAGCGCTGCTCAGACCATCTTAGCGGGCGCTGTGTCCGTGGAGCTCAGTCAGAGGATACATTCATCCTAAGTGGGTAACTTCTCTGGGGGGTGCAATGAGGAGCGTGACTTGGAAAGGGATGTTGCACAGATTCTCATTTCTCTCTCTGCCTCAAACAGGATTTTGTGATGGCGTTGTCAATTCTGTTGCGGGGAACAGTTCATGAGAAGCTCAGATGGACGTTTAACCTTTATGACATAAACAAGGATGGCTATATAAACAAGGAGGTAGGGCTGTTTCTGACAAATGTAGTTGATTTCTATGAGAGCTGACTTGTTTCTGTTGCATAGCACAATTAACGTTGCATACAGCTCATCAAACATATAAAACTGGACCTGAGTGTTTTTCTGTCTAAGAAAGTGCAAAGTGATCTCACACTGTATTATTTTGTAGATGCGTTTTCCTACGTTACACTGGCTTTCATGGTTAGCTCTTACCTGGAGAAAAATCCTGGTTTAATCTATGAGCAATGCAAAGCTGTGAAGAGGAGGGGAGGGGATGATGACAGCAGGTACTCAGTGACCAAGGTGTATTAGGGGCTTCTGGCTGCACTGGGAGGTGTGATGTGGGCTCACCCAGAGCACTACGAACCCCCCAGATTTGTAGGTTAGCATATATCTGATGATGCATCTGTCTGCATGCATGTGTTCTTGGGGGGACAGTAGATATGAGCACAAGGTCTGTGCTGTTTTGTTAACAGGAGAGGGCGAAGAAAAGGGCAGTAAAAGACATAAATGTGCTATCATTTCTATTAATTTCCCTGTTGTGCTTTTGTTGTCATGTCACTACTGCAGGAGATGATGGATATAGTAAAGGCAATTTATGATATGATGGGAAAGTACACGTATCCCGTGCTGAAGGAAGATGCTCCAAGGCAGCACGTAGAAGTGTTCTTCCAGGTACTTCAATTCTGATGATTTCTCAACACCTGAGCTCTTCACTGATACACTTTAAGATTAATCCCAGCTACACAGCTGTTTCCTACTGTACATCCTAAAACAAATTCTAGTAGCCATCCAACCTAATGCTGCAGTGCCTGCTGACTTCTTGAGTCTGAGGTATCCTAATTTGACTTAGCCCAACCCTTTGCAACGGGAGGATGTTTATCCAGTGAATGTGGAGCTTCTGTATGTATCACAGTCATTTGGTGCTTCTCTTCTCAACTGCTCATAAAGACAGACAGCTATCATATGGTGAGGCAGTGAAGAAATAAATGATGTAATATGAGCAGAGGTTGCTGCATGTGTATAACAAAGGTTCAGGTGGAGATGACCTCGAAAGTCCTCCACATACCAGAGTGAACCAGTTCTTAGCTGCCAGCAAATTGAACCAGTGGCACCGAGTCTGTAATGTTGGCTGGTCACGTGCCTTAGATTTATTCAAGTTACAGCACATAGGATGTTATACTGTTACCACAGTGTTATCTGTGGGAACTAAATGTTTGTTTTTATTTTGCAGAAAATGGATAAAAACAAAGATGGTGTTGTAACTTTAGATGAGTTTATCGAATCATGTCAGGAGGTAAGGATGAAATGCCAGGTGCAACAAAAGGTACAGATCATGCCACCGTCTTTGTTTTCACTTCCACCAAACTTCATTTGCAAGGAAGTGCCACTCCATCCCGGGGTTCCTTTGCTCTCTCAAAAAAAAAAGCAGCTGTGAGATTGGTGGTGCTCTGTGATGCTGCTGAGCCATCAGGGCTGTGGGGTCAGGCTGGTCAGTGCTGCTGATTCTGTGACAAGTACACAATTATGAGAAAGCTCATAATGCCCTTTACCTTCCTCAGTATTTTATTTACTTAGTTGCATATTTAAGAGGCTGACGCTGTGTCTTCGGTGTGTGATTAGATATCTTAGTATCAAAGCAGCTTCAACAGTAGGGTTTTGTTAAACCAGAACCAGGGCAGGGTATTTGGTTCCTTACTGTTGATGTGCTTGGGCTTGCAGCTCACAGACCCATGCACTGCCATGTGTTACCTCCTGGCAGACCAGAGCCATGCCACACAAAGGTGGTGTCTTTTATTTTAAGGAAACAAACAAATGTGCTTACCTCTGCCATATCTGAGGCTGCAGCTCTCGGGCAGTGAAGTCATGGCATGGCTGTGCACAGGAGGATTGGTTCCCCACACAGGGCATCACCAAACTGTGTTAGGATGAGCGAGGTGGATGCTGCTACCAGAAACTATCTGGTATTTCCCTTATGTGTCTCCAACTCTCTCATTTGGATCCAGGGACCTGAGAGAGGCTGGTATTTCATGTATTCTTGTTTTGAGCCCCAGGTGTTCCTGTGAGGAACTGGTCCTTCATGGCAGCATGCTTGTCCGTTCAAAGCTGTCATTTCATTTATGCTTCTGAGGCAGATGAAGCTAAATACACACCTTCATATTCAGGATCAGTGCAGTGGGTGCCGATGTCTGAGGGCACAGCTTCAATGTTGGTTCAGCTTTTCTTCTGTGAAGCACAGGCCATGCTGGAAGCCAAGCTTAGGAGAATGTCCTCTGCATGCCTCAAACCAGTCAAGGTGCTGAAGTAAAAGCGCTGCTTTTCCAAATCAGGACCTAACTGTTGAATCCATTCAAGCTTACCAAGGGTGGAAAGCAAGGCTGTTGCCTGCAGTAGTCCCCGCAGAGCCCCTGCTGTGCCATGCCAGGTTAGGAGTTGTATTCATCAGTGCTCCTTTCATGAACGTGTCTTCTCGTTGCTTTCAGGATGACAATATCATGCGGTCCTTGCAGCTCTTTGAGAACGTAATGTAACCATGCCTGGAAAGCTCTGGAAGAGTCAGAGACTGTGTGTGTAACAAAGACCTCCTTTCTGGGTGAAAGCTTTTTATAATTCAGCCATGTTCAATTCAGCCAGCGTGTGAGGGTTTTGTATGACGTGTCCAACCAAACGGCAACTGAATGCAACTGATCCCATCTCTCCTCCGCAAGAGACGACAGTGGACCTCTATTTCATTTTGGAAGCATGCAAATACTTTAATAAAACCTGACGAGAGAGCTGCTGCTTGAAGCTCGATGAGTAATACACAGCGTTCTGTTTGCAAGCCACAAGTCCTGCTTTAATCTAGCAAGCTTGATTGCGTATGATAGCTCATGTTGATAGCATATTCAGCCACCTATTACAAGCAAAAAGCTCAGTCCATACAACCATATGGCAAAATGTTTTATGGATGCCTTGCCTTTAATCTGCTTTTACAAAAAAAAAAAAAAGAATCTACAAGGGCCATCTGTAAAAATGAACAGTGAATGTACCTAGGACGTTAAGCAGACAGCCCGTGTAGCCAGCATCCCCATTTCTGCAGAGATCTTGCTTCTCACGGCACTGGTGCCACCACGCTGAGGCTGGTGGAGGTATTCCCGAGCACATTAACCAGAGGAACTCAATACCAGGGTTAGTCAGAAAGGAGCAAAGCGTGAGTAGCACGTAAATTTCAAAGTGCAGAGCAAATCTGATCAATGATGGTAAGTTGTTGCAGGACCAGGTAGGTTTATAAGGGCTGCTAGAGGAAGATGCACACCTGCTTTGGTCCCAGCCACCTTCTGCAGTCCCGGTGCGCTGTGGGACACCGAGCGATTCTCCACTGTGCACCTCAGCAGCACCATGGCCGTGTGATGGTCCTTCCGCTGTGGTTTGGCACCTGCTTCTTAGATGCGTTACTTGAACATCTGTATTCCTCCATTAGATGTTAAAACAAAGTAAATTCTACTCTGTGGAGTTATTTAAGCTTTCCAGAAAAGGGCCAGGTGGTGCAGCTGTGTTCCCACATAAGGGCCTTGGCACCCACAGAGTGCCAAATAAGTTTAATTGGCGCCTGCATGGTTGCTGTTAGTATCAGAAATGTCTGCCGGGGTAGTTCCACATTTTCTGTAGTAAAATCTTCATCCCACAAGACAGTTGCATGACTCGTACAAGTCCTGATCCTTACCAATGCCCCGGAGAGCTTTGTTGTGGGGAATTGTTGGTTTCTTTCTTCCAAGAGGGAAACAGGAAGTCATGTAGCGAATTTATACCAAGGTTGGATTGCCCAGTAGATGTGTCTGCTGAGGAACAGGTCAGCCTGCTTTGCAGAGGAGTCTTAAGGAAAATGGCTGTTCCCAAGCAGCTGATGGTTGGGAAACCAAGGGAAGGAGGGAGCAGCCACCTGTACCAGCTGCACAAACCACACAGAAAGGGGAATCCCCTGTCGTACCCAACATCGTCCCTGTCCAGTAAGCATATATTTTTATTATGTCAGATACTATATTGCTAATATACTGTTGGCACTGAAGATATATTTTAAATATTACGTATGTGGAAGCTTTTTATAAGACTAAATATATAGAATGCCTAATTTCTGTAGCCCTATGTTTTATAAAAAAAAATTAATCTGTTGAAATATTCCTGGTTATAGAGGTAGGTCTGATCAGTACTGGAGTAATGCTATGTGTATTCCTCAAGATGGAAAGTGTTCTTTTTTTCTGTGCTTCTGCATACTCTTCTGTGTGGTCTTTGCTTTGTTCCCCCAAGTTGATTACTTGTCATCAAAACAGCTGGTCAGCTGAGGGAAGTTACTTGTATGCAGGAATGACATCTCAATCTGTCCTGTTCGCTGCCTTGCACGCAATTAACCATGAATTAATTCCTTCTAGCAAGTATGCAGAGCAAAGCAGCTCCAGTGATGTGCTGGGATTCACAGAAGGGATGCAGTGCTGTGAGAGTAGCCTTGTCTTCCAGCTGTCCAGTGTTGTCTATTTGTTTTTTGTTTAATAGGCACTTGGTAAAGACATCAGCTGTAGCTGGAATAATGCCCAATATTTATGTTGTTCCTTCTTGTGATTCTTCTTGTAATCACTTGGGCAAATAACAGCCTTCAGTGCAACAAAAAACCTGCTTTGTTCTCCTCCATCCCTACAGGCATGTGTCTGTTGTCAGTCTGAGCAGGTAATGTCACTAGACCAAAAAAAGGGAAAGCAATCATTTGTACTGAGTTCTTCAGTGTCTTTCACCTCTAACAGTGATGCTCCAAGTGTGCTTGCAAGATGGCATATGTAGCCTGAATATTTCTTAGAATTAGAATGTGCCTTTTTCAGTAGACAAGAAGTATTAATACATGCGTGATCCTTGTAGACCCTGGAGCTAAATTAATTTCTGGAGCCGCCCTGAATTTGGCCTCAGCTGTGTTTTCAGTCTCCGCTAGGAGAAGTGTTTTGTTCCAGGGACCAGAACTGCTCTGGGTCAAGTACAGCCTGACTGAGCAACATACCTGAAACATCTGCATGTTACTCTCAACGTATCTTTAAGGGCATTGCTGAAGCCAGATTGCTATTAGTGCCCTTACACTTTTTGTTTCTCCTCTTCTGCACTGATGTAGTTTTTATCAGTTCCCAGTAATGATGGCCGTGTGTTAGGAAGAGAGGGAGATGCTGAAAGCTGCACTGGTCCTGACTCTGCCCCTAAGCCATAACCAGAGCCCAGCTACCATTGCCTGTGCCTCATGCCTGCCATTTGCTCCTGGATTGCTGCTTCTATGTTCCCCTTAAGATGCCATCCAGAGACCCAGCCAGGCCAGGAGAAACTCATGGGGTTCAGTAAATCCAAGTGCAAGGTTTGGCACTTGGGTCACAGCAAGCCCTGCTATCAGTGCAAACCGGGGAATGTAAGGTAGAGCATGGCTGTGAACTAAAAGAGGGGAGATTTAGGTTGGATATGAGGAAGAGGTTTTTTACAGTGAGGGCAATGAGGCAGTGGCACAGGGTGCCCAGAGATGTGGTGGATGCACCATGTCTGCAGGCACTCAAGGTCAGGCTGGACGGGGCTCTGAGCACCTGATTTAGTGGAGGTGTCCCTGTTCAGTGCAGGGAGTTGGACCAGATGGCCTTTAAGGGTTCCTTCCAACTCAAACTCTTCTCTGATTGTAAGTCTGTTGCTACAATAGGAGGATTTGCCACGTGACGCACAACAGCAGCATTTACTGTAGCTCTGGTCGTGAATTCTGGCTGTGACAGAGCAGTTGCCTTTGTGAAACCATTTATTATCCTGTATTTGTCCACGATCCCACTGCTAGCAGCCGGAGGCTTGTGTGCATCAGTGCCCAGGGGCCTCGGGGCTTTCCGTGAGCAGCATCCATGCACGTGGCAGGTGACAGAGCTGCAGTGACTGTGAGAGAGTCATCCTCTGCATGGAAATGTCTTTGGGTTTGCCTTTTATGTTCTTGGTGAACGTTAGTTTGTAAGCTTGCAAAGCCTCTCATCGCTCATAAATGAGGCTTGCAATATTGATGGCAAATACTTACTGCTACGGCTTTCCAAATAAAACATAGTATGCTGTTCTGATCTCATCTCGCCATCGATCCTCTTGCCAGGATGTGAAGGAAGCTGCTGCGCTGCCTGCTAAGTTACAGTTAGACTCTGTCAGTGCTATCAGCTGTGCACATTTTCTTGAAGCTGTGAATGTTTCAATAACATCTGCATTGTAAGTCTGACTGTTTTACTACTTACAAGCATTAATCTGCATTTTCATGCTAGCGTTTTCTAATAAAAGCCTTTCTAACATGCGCTTTAGGCAACCATCTGTTGAAAAATAGGAATATGATGAATGATGATGCAAAAAAAAAAAAAAAAGCAAGCAATGTAATTCATCTGTTGTCGTTGATGTACATTTTCCTGTATTTTTGAATGCATTGCAATACTGTGAGTAACTGTATGTTGAGTTGCAAACCTGAAGGTGCGGATATACGAAGGTTCCAGCGCCGCGGGCAGGACTTTGGCAATGCCAGGCTGCAGCACGGTAAGAGCAGGGCATCTTCATGTCTGCGTGTGACCGCCGCTAAGATGGCAGCAGCTCGTTGCTCGTGGGAGCGCCGTGAAGGACTTGTGGGAAAGTGCTGCTGGTGTCGGTGGTGCAAACTAAAGCCATGCGGGTGGAGCGGCGGTGCGTCGCTCCTATTAAAAATGCTGTTATCCGGTGGCAGTTTGTATGACGTTTTGTTGAATGGTTTTAAAGATTTGGGTTTTAATAATAAAAACTACGTGTCTGTAGGGGGGTGTCCTCCTGTACGCCCAGTATGCATTTTCCTCTCATGGGATGCTGTCAGGTTAACGATGTACAGCCAGGAGACTGATAGAACCACGCATCGATCTGCACAGGGGCTGCTGGACTGCTGAAGCAACGTTTACATGGTAATGATTTCTTTCCATTGCTGATCTGGGGATGCTTGTCTGTTTGGTGTGGTGACATACACCTCTGTTTGTCCCTGGTGTGAATAAGAGTTCGGAAATACTCAACTTGATTCACTGGTACTGTCTTGGAACAGTAAAAGCTGAAAATTTATAGATACCTTTTTTCTCTTGGGTATTTTTGCTTAAGTATCTCCAGGTAATGGAAATTACATTGAAGAACATGCTAGCACTACTTGCAGAGGTATGAAAAATAAGCCTCTCTGTGTCCCTTTATCTCTGGTTTGTTGAAAGCATCCATTCTGACACACAGAGAATTGCAGAATAGGTTTTACTAGACTAATACATATATGTATAGAGATACACATATGAAAATTTGGTCAGCTTCATCACATAGGGTATAATACATCCCCCAGCACATCCCCAGACAAGGAACATTGTTTTGCATGCTTGCAGAAATGTGAAAATAAAGGTGTCTGTGTGAAACGCAGCCTCGGTCTCACTGCAGCACTGCCAGGGCAGCTCTCAGCATGCGGCGAGGGAGCAGCCAGCAGCAGCCAGCACTGCTGCCTATGCAGGACGATGGCACTTCCATGGACAGAGGCCCAGCTGCTGCCCGGCGATGGACGGCTGTTGAAGCTCCTGGTTGGCATTTCTCACAGCACCAGGTCACACCAGCGGCTGCATGGTTTGCACACAGCTGCATGCATTTGCTTTTGATGCAGTTTTTAGTGCCGGATTTGCTGAAGTGGCTGCGTGCTGCCCATTAGCACTGTCAGCGCTACATCTCTGGGATCCTCCTGGATGTGACAGAGTGAGAATGAGCGGTGTGATGCAGCTCAGCATATGCTCATGGTTACTTTAGAATTCAAAGCCTTCAGGCTATGAGATTAATTCTGTAATCTCTGCTCGTTTGTGCAGGCCCAGCAGAGGTGGAGGAGGAAAGACCTGGCATCAAGATCTCTGCAGGAGCCGAAGTTACTGACCGTGTGGATCTCTTCCATTTTGGGTCAGAAAATGCATCTGAGATAGAAACACCCAGAGAAACTGTGCTGGAGAAAGTGAGTCCTGTCCCTGTAGCAGAGTCGGGTGCGGCAGGGAGCATTTTGGGATAGCCTGATTTAACCCCATTTAACAAATTGCTCTGTGAAAAATGATGGTTTTAAGTCTCGTTGCAGCACAGTGCCTGCTGCTAGGTCCTCTAAGCAGAGATGTCCCAGGGGACACGACTGCCCTTCTTAGAATTAACCAGTCATGTGCTGCCAGTGTGGGTTTGGTTTCATTGTAACTAACAGCTTGAACAATTAATGCTGTGTTTTCAGCAGCAAATGAGTAGATGCCAGGCTTTTGGATAGCAGAGTCTGAGCACTCCGTGAGGTCAGATACAATAAACACTGGGAAAGTGCTTCTGCTGCCCGTGGAGCTCACACAGGGAACGCTAGATGTCAGTGAGGGCCAGCAGCCAGCAGGTTGTGGCAGCACTGCGAGGGGCAGGAGATGGCTGCATAGGATCAGGTGTGGGAGCTGCATAAGCAGGAATCCTGCATGCCTTTGTACACTGGAAGGCTGGCGATGGATGGAACCCCGCTGTGTGGCTGGGGATGGCTGCTTGTTTGCTAACACAGACAGTGACTTGCTAGTAAGCAATTGCTCATCTTGGGAGTCTTCTCTTGAAACATGGAATAACACCACCACAGGCTTTATATTGTTATGATGAGACAGAAGGGTCTACAACAGCTCACGTGCATTTTTCAGTTTGATTACTTAGATTGATTTACATTGAGACATCTAAAATACAGGGGTGATAAAACTGCCATGTGAAAGCGGAGCTTTACCAGGATTTAAGCTTTAAGCTTTTCTGGGTGGAAAAAAAAAAAAAGGAAAAAGAAAAGAAAAAAAAAAAAGAAAAATGCTGAATTTTGTTCTTTTCCATGTTTTGTTCAGAACTGTCATTTTCTTTCTGGGGGAGACAAATTCTGGACAGCTAGAGATGGTTAACATCCAGATTTGTGCCTATCACAAGAAGGAAATCCTTACAACTGGAAAAGCTTCTCTCAGTGAAGACCTGTTTACTGGTTGTATCGTGAAGCGCAGGCATTTTGTACGTTCCTAGCCATGCAGAAATACATGTCCTCAACACAGGTCCTTAAGAGTAAGCTTGCTCACTGTGCCAAACAAACAGGCAGGTGCTTTTGCCTGTGCAGGAACTCACTTAAGCACAGAGAATACATCTCTGAGAGAACTTGGGGGAAATGTGTGATAAATCCCAGTGAGATTTCCTGCAGAAGGTGAGATACAAGCACCAGGCCTGTCCAGCTGACATGCTGAACAGCCTGTTACACTGCTTTCACTGGACTGAAGGCTACGTCGCATGTCAGAGCAGGGCAATACTATCCAGAGGTGGTTTTAAATTAGTAGTTTATATCCTGTGGTAAATTGGAAAAGTTTCAATTTACCAAGGACACGAAGATATTTTCCCTATGTAAATGTTCTGATTTAATGGCTAAATTACAATTTAACACGTCATAAAAATGTGGTCTTCTGTGATCTGCTAACGTCATTAATATCAGTTAATGCAGATGTCCATATTTATTACTAACATATACTTCTTTCATTTTCAGCAATATCAAAAGCTAAGCCAGTCTTATTACCTACTTTTGGAACGTCTGACCCAAGATCATATGGATTTCATTACCAGCTTAGAGCCTCATGTCCTTACCTCAGTGTCTGGAGGACTTACTACTCGAGGTAAGACTTGTTGACTTCTGAAAATCTATTTTACAGAGTAGATAACTTACCCAGTATGTGTTTCATTTTGCATTAAGTTGTAATAACATAATGCTCAAATCTTTAAGGACATCTGCTACAGACAAGCAGTTGAGCCATTATCTGTATCAGTGTCCTTTTAAAATGAAGTATGAGCAAATAAGAGGCTCCTTTTGAAAGGAGAAGGAGGTAGATTTCAGTTAGAGGAATCCTTTGTGGTGGTTTCAGCAATAAAGCTAACAGAGTATGTAAGCTTGAGTCTTAACTGTGGCAGCGAATATTTCATGCACGTCACACAATAATGTGAAGAATGCACAGCCAGGAAGACAAGGGAAAGCATTTTGGAAGCTGCAAACCCAAAAAGGAGAATTTCTGAATTTGAAGACTCGCATTTCTGAAAGCACGTTGGCCTTAATCTCTGTTTGGAACAGAAATCTCATTATAGCCAGAGAAAAGGATATTCCAGGGCTTGAGGAGCCCAGCTCAGCGGGGCAGGAAAGATCACTGCAGAAATTCATGTGACACTGCAGAGACCTGTAGGTAATTTTAGATACTGTAAAAGCAGCGTTCAGAAGTGTAATGGACAAGAAGAGATGTACTGTTCCTTTAGTGACACTTCACGATGGGTTTGGTGCAGCACCTGGAATATTCTGTGTGACCTCTGTGGTGACAGCAGCCGAACACCTTGCTGGCTGCCACGTGCGTCTGCAGACGAAAAGGTGCCCTGTTTTGGGTTTGAGGAACGTTGGTGGCAATGGGCTGAAGCCTGCTTGGGGTAGGGGCTGGAGGTGCCTCACAGTGCTGACAAAGTCTGGTTGAGATAGACAGCCCTGTGTGTTAGAGGGGAGGGTGAGCAGTGAAATGTGGCACAGCTGGTCAGACCTGTTCCCAGCACTGGGATTTTTCCTCCTTTGTCTCTTTCTTCACACTTGGCAAAGAGGGGAGAAATAGATGTTGTCTGGCTGGTCTTCTATGGTTTCGCTCTCGAGGTATTTTTAGTGCACTGATCTATGGGCAGCCGGGCCCTGACTGCCCGTTCCTTGTTTGTTTTCAAGGAGAGGCAGCTCTGCAGCTCCCCCACAGCCCCAGCTTCCATTCACAGCCCATGTGGAGTCCAGAACTGACCCCTGGGCACAGCTGCTTGGCAAACATGCTGAGACTGCTGTGTCCCACAGTGCCGGACGCGTCTGTGTGCTCCCCCTGCCCGGAGCTGCACAAAAATCCAATACTCTCAGTTTTGAGACATTGCGGTAGGTGTCAGACAGCAACACTGCCCAGAAAATGCTACCGTGTCAGTATAGTCTGAATTTCCTAGTATAATACTTGTTTTTTCTTCCCCTCTTAGCTTAATGAATGGCATTTTGGTGTTAAAACAGCCTTTGAAGGCTCCTGTGCTTCTGCTGCACGTGCAGCCATCTGCTTTTTGCAGTTGAGTTGCCCAAGACTCAGGGCTTGGAATGCTGTTGGTGCACTGCAGTGGTGTCCTTTGGTGGTTCCAAGGCAGTGAGGAGGGCTCCCATGCTGCTCTGCCTTGTTGGAAATATCCAAATAATTTTGTCAGGACAGTATCTCTGATAAAAGCAGGTTTTATTCATGATTGCAGTGGCGGGCGTCCCGCAAGCAGGAGCACCCCCTAAGGACACAGTGACAGCTTCTGTATCTTGTAAAAAAAAAAAAAAAAAAAAAAAAAAAAAAAAACCAGAGTGCGTTTTGGAGTTGAGGATGGGGTGCTCTCATTGTAAAATACAGAATTTAAGCTCAGATTTGAATAAATAGCCTGTGATGGAGTGATTCAACCAAGAAAGGGCAGTGGTTTGAGATCTTGTTGTGCAGCTGGGACCTGCTGATCAGTCTGATACACCACTGAAGGACTCTATTAGCATTTCCTCCTCTTGAAGCATGCTGTGTCATGGAAGGATGGCTTCCTGGCTTCCCTTTCTCCCATTTCTCAAATATTCTGCACAAACTATTTTTTTTAATAGGTGCAGTTTTAGCCTGACCAAAATATATAGATGAGAAAGCAACAATTGTGGTGGGGACATCTTTAGGCCCAGGCTGCAGGGCTCAGGAAACACACTTTGTCTGCATATTGCCTCGCATGACTGATGGGATGAATGGCTGTGCTTTGTTCTTGCTCAGGTCACATCTATCTGGTGGCTGCAGACCCAACGCCTGGCTCTCCTGAAGGCTCACCTGGATTGGCTGCAGAGAACCAGGATGGCTCTGCAGGGCAGCCCTGCATGGCCTCACCAAATCAGGCACACAACTTCTGAGAAGCTCTGCAGATCCAGCACTGCACCGCAGTGTGGGGGAGGTGTTTGCTGAGGAGGCACCAGGTGCTGACTGCTGCTCCAGGGCAGGGCCCTGCTGTTAGCAACTGATGTTCAGAAAAAGGGACACAAATCTGTGTGTCTCTAAGAGAGATGCTTCTGTTCAGAGCAAATTTTTGGATATAAAACTTCATCTCGTTGGCTTTGTACAGGGTGAACTTGATATTTTCCAAGCGTGTTTATTCACCTGAAATTTAGAAACATCTTAACGTGGGAAGAAGCTCTGTGCACAGGTTTCAGCATTACAAATGATCACTTCTGCTGTCTGTTACAGTGCTGCTGATGTATTCTGTCTGAAGCATGTCGCATACTGTGGCACTCTGCTTCACTGCTGTCCCAGCAGGTTGGCATCTGATGTGAAGTAGTGATAAATTCATTTAAAATACCTTAATGTGGCAATAGAAGGCAATCGTTAATAGTTAGGTTAATGAGAGCATTGGCTCTCTTCCTTCTCTTGCCGTCTCCCTCGTGGTGCAGTGCGTGCGTTCTGCAGGCAGATGTATGGCCCTGTCATAAACAAGTTCCTTGGGAGTGCACTGGGGCTTGGGGTGCCGCCGGTCCCACGGGGACACTGCTCAGTACTTTTCCAGTTGCACTGTAACTGCTTTGGGTGTGTGTGGTCCTCGGCAAGTGTGGCTGCAGCAGTAAATAGGACAGAGGGCCTTTCGGGACACACTGGCTGCTTTCTCTGTGCTGGTGACGAGTGCCATACAGGTGGTTGGTGTTCGCCATCGGTTCAGAAGCAGCTCAGATTTCTGGCCATAGGAACTGGCAGTGTTGTTTGTGCCAGTGCCCGGAGGTGCTCCAGTACTGTAACCATGCTTAACCATCCTTATGTATCATAGAATCATAGAATGGCCTGGGTTGAAAAGGACCACAGCAACCGTCTAGCTTCAACCCCCTGCCAACCAGCAGCCCAGGCTGCCCAGAGCCACATGCAGCCTGGCCTTGAATGCCTGCAGGGATGGAGGCATCCACAGCCTCCTTGGGCAACCTGTTCCAGTGCCTCACACCTCTCCCCAGGACACACAGAGCTGGCTGGGGACCCCGTCCATAGCTGTACTGAACTGTGCAAATGCTGGTAAGGCTTTGAATTTCCTGAGATTTAAAACCCGAAGGAGAGATTGCAGTTATTATTATTTGTTTTTTAAATCCCTTCAAAACATTTTCAAACCCGCGTTTTTGTTCAGGCTGCTTTACATCCTGCCGTAATTCAGAGCAAAGTTAATGTTTCACGCTGGGCTGCAGTAAGTTGGGTAAAGCAGTGTTTCCTCATTTGTTGTGTAACAACAGTTATCCTTTTATACTGTCCCCACTACATTACACTGATAAAGACCAAAAACATTGCTTGATACCTTCTAATAACAGTTGGGTCTATTTCTAAACACAGATAAGTTTCTGTTCTGTACTGTCTATTGCTGAGGCATTTTTGAGACAGTGAAGCCCTGCCAATTCTAAGCAATGAAAGCTGCCTATCTCCTGGCAAACCTAACACAACTGCTTTGAAAGTGAAATATAGAGCTAAGCCACCTTGCTTTGTTTCTCCCCAAAGCAAAAAATACTTGCTCCTTGGAAGTTGGTCTTGGAGATTATTCAGACGCTGTATGATTAAGCCTTTCAGAAATGTTCTTTCCAAGGAGACACCAAGCACTTCCATTCCTGGGCCTGATGCAGCTAAGTGTGTGCTCACATGGCTTTGTGCTGAAGAGGATGTGGTGGCTGAGCACTGGTGGGGCTGGGATTCGAGCTGTAACAGAGCAAGAGCCTCAGGTAAGACGTGTAAGAAACAGAGGGTGGTGAGGCACTGGAACAGGTTGCCCAAGGAGGCTGTGGATGCCCCATCCCTGCAGGCATTCGAGGCCAGGCTGGATGTGGCTCTGGGCAGCCTGGTCTGCTGGTTGGTGACCCTGCACGTAGCAGGGGGTTGAAACTAGGCGGTCATTGTGGTCCTTTTCAGCCCAGGCCATTCCATGATTCTGTGTATTAGCTCTTCTACTTGTCTGCTGGTAGCACACATTGCTGCCTTCATATTGCACATGGATTATGGGGATCTAACATCTTCCATTATCCAGAATTCCTCTGCTCAAAAGTAACCTAGAGGAAGAATTATCGTTTTTGAATGGTGAAAATAATAATACAGAGAGTATTATAACCAGCAGCAAAGCACCAGATTTGTGCATATCAGCTCTCTTTAACAGGGATGAAATTAAGTACAAAAAGATCTCACCTTGGCTCTGAGGTGCTGTGTTCCTGCTGCAGGGGGAGTCCTGCTGCTGAGTGCAGCCATGTTTGGAGGGAGGAAGCACAAATCATCTGTGTGTTCATTTAATGCGTTCATCCAAGTATTTTGGCATTCTGGTTTCATCTTAAAACTCCCACCGTGGAAGAGAACAAGGCTTTGTTCCTTTATGCTGTTCAAAAGCATTCCAAACCACATCTGCCACCAATAAAGAACATATTGTGGATGTGCAAACCAGAAAGCAGCACTTGCTACAGCCTGTCTAGTAAAGCACATCTTGATCTGATCTGCTGTCTCAGCCTATTTCAACCTATCCAAGAAACAATAAGCAATGCTTCCCTCGAGATCCTACTGCTAGTGCCAGCTAAAGCATCTGCCCATATTTTGGTACTGGAGGCACTTGTTATGGGCCAGATTAAATTGTATTATCTTTAAGATGAAGTTAAGCAAATGGGCAAGAATCTACACACGAGCATTGGGTGCTGATGCGCATGCAGACGAAATAACATTCTCAGGTTGTAACAGGCAATGTCATGATGGAAGTAGTTAAGTGGGGATTTGGGTTGGGGAAAAAAAAAACATGTCTGGTACTGGTCCAGAACTGTTGTTTCTATGTGAAATGTTTGTTCAGTTCAAATGTTTGCAGCATTGGTTGTTAGACCTGGTAAAAGCAAAGCAGTGTTGGTAATGGAGAGTTTGTTGTTAGTGAGTGAGAGTAAGAGAAGATCTGCACAAAGGTGTGTTTCTGTGCATCTCTGTCTTTAGTGTCTTTAAGGTCCCTGGCAGATGGTGTGAAGAGCAGTTATTTCCCTTTTTCATGTGGGTAACTATGGCAGGGAGCAATGAAGGCATTTTTCAGGGCAGAGTGGGCGTGATGGACCCCTGGCATCACTGAGCAGCTCAGGTTCCTCTAATCCCATGGCATTCCAGGAGGGATGTCTGTGCCCCAGTGTGTCAGGGCACTAGAGGGGGAGAGGGGGAGTTAGAAGCTTTCTCGTTTCCAGTTAACTGAGAACAGTTTAAATGGCAGCATACACAGCCATATTGATTACATCTCCGTGACCTTTGGTTTTTGAGCTGTGGTAGAGGCCTGGTGCATGAAAGCATCTTGCCTAGATCAGAGAACACTCCAGGGGTGACAGAGGGATGAGAGCTCTGCGCTGGTGGCGCTGGTCCGTCCTGCTCTGCTGGCATTGGACTGGTGGGGAAGGGAAGGATGGGAGCATCACTGCTGGCACTTATGCATCCCTGGTGACAGGCCTTGGCCATCAGTCATCAGCAGCCTGCACTGCAGACTGGGACAGAGGCAAAGTCCAACCGTTCTGTGCAGCGGGGGAGGCTGGCTGCAAGTTCATGCTTGCTTTATCCTTTCACCCAGGCAGAGTGGACTGCTTACCATTCAGTGTTTTATTTTTTGTTGTTGCTGTAGACACTGTTGTCAAGTCAGAGTTTGTTGTAAATATGCCCATGGTGAAAAGTGACATTTGTTTTTTTACGCTATCAGTTTCCTGTCTTCTCTCCATCTTTTCAAGCACCTATTTTAGAAAAGTTAGAGAGATAAGTTATGCAATGGCTCTGACTTGGCAGTTGTCTTAAATGTTGGAATGGGGCAGCAATGCCACCAGCATGCTGCTGTCTGACAGCAGGGCAGTGCCGTGGCTGTGCTGCCCATCCCTGCCAGTACCTCCAGGTGGTTGGGCAAGAGTTTGACCATCACGTCTTGTCATAGTGGGTGTGGGTGTCACTGCCAGGAGCCCGGCACAAAGCTGCAGAAAATAGTGGTGATGGATTTATATAAATAATAAATAAAGCCAACTGATTTATTGGCATGTTCTAGCCAAGCAATTAATTCTGCTTTTGGGAGGCAGAACCAAAGCAGAAAACATGTCATAACGCCAGATCAGAGCTGATAATGTATTCCTCCCTTCCTCAGTTCTCCGCTAGCACAGATCAGCCTATTAAGGAATCATCTCCCAGAGCACAGGCCGGCTCCAGGAGGATCCCCAGCAGCTGCAGAGCCCAGCCCATATGGAGACAGAGCCAGAACCACACATGTTGGGATGGAGGGAGGGAGGGAGGGAGGGAGGGAGGGCGGGAGGGCAGGCGGGGAGGTGGGGGACTGCCCACCCAGCCACTGTGCTCCTGAGGGGCCCAGCACGGAGCTGGGAGGTCGGTGCTCTGAGCATGCTTTTTGCCATATTGCTTTGAGACACATTACTGCACAGATAGCTCTTAAGATAACAGGTCCTAAATGTAATACAGGACTGTGCTGTTTTACCCAGCGCTGTTCCTTGGTGGTATCCCACGTGGGCTGCCACATGGCACATCCCACACTGGAGGCAGCTGCAGCTTCTCAGGGAAAGGCTCACAGAGGCTTCTGATCTGGGAGCAACTTGTGGGACTTGGTGGTGTCTATGGATGCTGGTGGGTGCTTGAGGGCTCCGTGGTAGCACAGGTACAGCAGTGGGCATCCAGTGCTGGGTGAGGGGCACTTGGTGAGGGAGGGAATAGTCTGCATGCCTCTCCCTGCCCACACGCTTCCCTTTTTCTCAGTTTCTCACTTCACTAAGCATGGGTTGCATTTATCCAAAGCATCGAGTGTGCTAAGAAGCAATTTCAGATGCTGCAGGTAGAAGCTGCAGCACGTTCTGCTGCTGGGGAGTGGTTCTACCACCAGCACAGCACCACAGCGCTGCATCGGGTGGGAGTGCAACAGGTACAGATGTAAAGTCAATGCAGTGAAGAGGGAACACTCAGGAGAAAGCTGCTGCCAAGGTGATCTCTTTGATCCTCTTATAGAGTTTCCTGTATGTGAAGTGGCTCTGAGGTTGGCTTCTGATGGAATTTGTCTTTATCTGAGACAAGAGGAAGTTGAACCTGTGGTCTCTTTCACAAATCTTTTGATTCAGTCAAGTGGAATGTGGCTATTTTTTCATCTAGACTTGCATCTTTATTGTGTGTCTTGCAGCAGAGGACTGAGGTTTTCTTGTATTTTTACTATGTATGAATTGAAAAGTAAGAAATGGAAATAATGCATCCATCTACAAAAGGTGCTCCACTCTTGTTAAGCCAGGACCAAGGAGCTGCCACATGAGCTCTTAACCAGGAAACAACAATGCTTTGGTTATTAAAAACCAGAGTCTCATCAAACTGATACCAGTGCACAGACAGAAATATTGCAGAGGAGATAAACCTGGAGATTGTTATCTGCAGGTTGCATCCATTCACTGCCTTGTCTTAGGATGTGGTGTGTACACTGGATCCTGAGCTCAGGCATTGCCTTTTGGGAAGCGTTGCTGTGATGGTCTCCTACTGTAGTGCAGTGCAGCTCTGCCTTCCTGCTGCAGGCTCTCTGCGTGTCACAGGTGGGCAGTGACATCCAGCAGCAGGCAGGAGGCAGACAACCCAGTGTGCATCTCCTGGCATCGTGGATGAGCTGCCCAGGACTGCAGTGCCAATAGAGCAAAGCAGGCAGTGCTCACTTGAGAAAATCAGCTTCTGAAGGGGTGTGTTTATAGAGTATGTTTATGGAGAGGAATGGCAGTGTGTTTGTGAATGAAGCTTCTATGAAAGTCCACAGCCAGAAATGCAGGTGATGTGAGCGTGTCTCAGGGCCAGCCAAGGTGCTCCTCTGCTGCTGGTGATCTCACACTCAAACTGGTAAAAGTGCAGAGCTGTAGAAGTAGTCTTGAACTACTGGGTGCAAAGTATAGCTCTAATGAAATGTGACAGCGTGGCTTTCACGTTGCCACATTCAATTCATCAATATGAAGAGGGCAAACGCTTTGACGGGAGGCCTGGGATGATGAATGGGCCTGGATATGCCTCATCACTTGTTGAAACTGCAACCACCTGCTGAGGCTTCATTAACTGCAGAGGTTGTTAGTGGGCACCCCATGAACTGTGGCTGTTGAGGGCTGCAGGCTGAGGCTTGCACAGAGCTACTGCACCAGGCAGGTCCTCCCAGCTGTGGGCACACACTGCCCAAGGGTGGGTGGTGAGCTTCCCTCCAGCCCTGGGGACACGGATGGATCCTGAGTGCCAGGGCTGCCATTGGAGCTGGGAGCACATCTGTGCACTTCAGCACCGAAGCCATGAAGCACAGCGTAAGAAAATGTCACCACTTAATTTTCCCAAACCTTCGCCCTCCCTTCTGAAAGGAATGCCGTCAGTTTAGGAGAAGTCAATTTAGAACAAAAGACCAATGAATGTGGTGGCTCTTCTTCTTTTGCAAGTTTAAGCACCTCATCTTTCCTCGGAGAACAGCTCTAAATCATTTTATTTGCAGGCCCTAAGCAGGAATTTGTATTCATGCTAAGACATTTATTGAGTTAATTTATTTAAGGCTGGGGCATAATTTCTAATAACGGAAGAGTCTCCAGGCCCAGTGAAATTGTCTCCCTGATAGGGCATTAATATTTTAAGGGATTATAATATCTGCCAATTGATCCATGCCTCTGGGAGCAGCCAGCAGTTACTGATGAGCGCCGTCCCAGGGATGGCCTGCAGTTATGCTGTACCCCACACAGGGCTGAGTACAGCGTACGGCTGCTGGACGTGGCACTGTGACCGATTCAAACCGTGGCCCAGGTGTTTCACACAGGGAGCTCTGCAGGCCCAGGAGTATCTCACTGCCCAACTGAAATTCAGACTGCTGTATCCTTAAGATGAACGGTGGAGCTGTGCTCCTTGGGCTCCATCTGGTAGTTTTTATCCATCAGTGTGTCGCCCCTGACTTACAGGCTCTGGTTGCTCCGTCCTGGCTCCCTCCGTTGCCCACACTGCATCCTTCCACCCAACAAAGTTCTGCCCATCTCAGCACACAGACGGGCTCCTGGGAGGCAGAAGCATAGTAAGGATTCAGGCATAACAAAGCGATCCTTTCTCTTGCTCCTTTTGTCCTCTGAGAGGTCAGCGAGTCCCTCCTGCTTTCCCTCCTGGAGGGCTGGGCCAAGGCACGTAGCGACTGCTCGACTGCATCACATTTGTTGCTCCATTGCCCTATGGGCAGCCTGCACTGCACGCAGCACTGCGGTGGAGCCCAGCCAACAAACCTCTGTCAGGGAAACTTTCCCCTTGACCTGGCTGTCAGTGATGACAGAGGAAAGCAAACCCAGGATTAAAACAGCACATCTGCACGTTTCTTATTTTAAATTTGCCTGTTCGGTGTTTTTGAATCCCTTGGAAAGGGGAAGTGCAGGTGCTGGCTGTGTGGGCTTTGTGGCTGTAGCCCTCTGGTAAATTGGCTGAGCCTGGGTCAGATAAGGAATCATAGAATCATTTATGTTGGCAGGGACCTTTAGAGGTCATCTCTTCCAACTCCCTGCACTGAACGGGGATGCCAGCACTAATCAGGTGCTCAGAGCCCCATCCAGCCTCACCTTGAGTGCTCCAAGGATGGGGCATCCACTTCACCTCTGGGCACCCCGTGCTTCTTCCTTTATATCCAGTCTAAATCTCTCCTCTTTTAGTTTATATATTACACGCTGTAAGAATAGTCAGAAACAATGACGTAATCTCATTATTTTCAAATTCTGCTCACATGAGAATCTTCCCATAGTAATTATCTTTTTTTTTTTTTTCCCCCATTTCCTCATCTGGCATACTCAGAACTGAGCTGAGTACTCAGTGAAGCCTCTTAGTAAACCACCTCTGCTTAATTTGCTTTTAATGTAAGAAGATCCTACAGCCTTTATCCATTTCTGTACGTAGATGGTCTGGAAGCGTGCACCATTTTGTGTCCCACGAGGGAGTTAATGTCATGCATGCTTGTCTTGGCTGATAGGAGCAAGAATAATTAAGTCTCACATAAAATACCTGCACACACACAATGGAGGAGACTAAGTGAGCAGAACTGCTGAGGTGGGAGGGACCGTATATATAGGGTTACAATTACAGGGTTGGCAAGTTGAGAGCAAAATCATAGAAAGCAACGTTGCTTGGCTGGTGATCTCTGTGCCTGTTAGGAGGGAAGATGAGCTTCTTGCACCCGGCCCTGGATCAGTGCCTGCAGTGAGGGGCAGGTTTCTTGAATGAATGAAACCAGTGCTCAGCAATAATTCCCCAACATGATGGAGCACGGGCAGCTGTGAGCTCACGGATCTGCAGCCATAGGAGACAGAAAATTGCAGGCAAGTTTACATTGCAGCTGGAGTTAAGATACCCAGTGCAGGAGAAAAATGTGCCTGGAGCAAGTTAAATTTCTGTATAAAACAAATTACTTAGAAATTTTATAGACATGGCATTTGTTTAGAGTAAATTAATTGACCAAACAGAAACCAAGCTTGACGTTCCAGAGGAAGAATTTATTCCATGTAAGTAAAACTCAGTATACTTCATTTTTATATAACTTAAGGCTTTCTGCATGTATTTGAAGGACTCTACCCTGCAAGCTGCAGGCAGACCTGTGTGCTGGGTGGGAGATGTGAGCAATGGCTGTCATTCCCGCAGCAGCTTGAAGGATCAGAGCATCTTTAAAACATAAATGCATTACCTGGCATGGCTTTAACACTCTTAAATAAGGGCTGAACCCGATTTTATATTAACGTTTCTTGTATCTTGCAGTTACCTCTGTCTTTCATTGGAATGAATAAGACAAGAACCAGACCTGCAGCATATGGTGTCATGTAAGTAACAGGAGAGTTTCCCTGCTCTCATACTGCCCTAAACTAACAGTACTATCTATGAGATCAGTGTGTATAAAAGTCTGTGGCACTCCAAGTGCTAGCTCACAAAGCAGAGTCTATATACTATGCTGTGTTAGTGCAGCCAGGCCCTTGGGACAGCTGCCTTCTGGTGCAGCTCCTGCCCCATCCCCACTGTGTGATCCTGTGCGTACACAGGGGCTGGTCGCACACAGCACTGAGCTCTGCCTCGCACTGAAACACAGCAAGGGCTGCCTCAAGCAAGCAGGGTGTGTGCTGCAGCCTCAGCGAGGCCCTCGGTGGTGCTGCTGTTCCTGGAACTGAGAGGTCATTTTTCATGTGATGTCATGACAGTGGTGTGGATGGAAAGAATCCACTTTTTACCAATAGCAAAAGTTCACGGAAGTTCTTGAAATTTCTGTGGCTATGATGAAGTCACCTGTTTACCTGTCCGTGATTGCTGATAACCACTGAAGGCAAGTGAACAGCAAAAAGCAGGTTATGGAAGCTGGCATCTGCCTGGCACGTGTCTTGCTGAGCTGAGGCTAACAGCTTCAGCATGTGCCTCCTGCTGTTCCAGGCAGAAATTGGGCTGCTGGTGTTCTCCTTCATTTGTCCTGTTATCAGACAAGCAGGCTGAAATTTGAGTTCTTCAAACAGGGAAATCAAAGGAGAAAAAATTAAGTGTTTTGTTTAGAAAAAAAAAATGAAATGAATTTGAGATTTGGACAGAAGGCTAAAATAGGAAAGGCTTCATGGCAGTGTGCTTTGTTAGCAGACTTAGAAGTCTTCTCTCTGCCTTTAGTTAAAAAATATTAAAGCAAAAAAAAAAAAAAAATCAAAGTTAAAAATTCAGACAACTCATTTTGGTATTACCAGTTTGTGTGGTGCTGCTCCATGTCTCATCCCCTTTCCCTGCATCCACATCTGATGTTGCCTTTGGTCCTGATCAGCTGAGGGCTGAGCTTATGTATCTGTTGACACACAACAGGACCTCATTAACTACTTAGTTCTGTAAAAATAAGGTTAATTCTGTATACGTTGATTTTTAGCATCAAATCTGTAAGGTTTCCAGTAGGAGTGGCTTGCAGAAATATGTGGCACATTGTCTTGTTTAATTTTTCTCTTCCTTGTAGTAGCTCCACGTTTTCTTCTGGCCTGACAAAATAGATATTTAACATAGAATGACAGAACCATTTGAGCTGGGAGGTAACCTTAAAGGTCATCTCATCCAACTCCCTGCAATGAATAGGGACACGTACACTACATCAGGTGCTCAGAGCCCCATCCAGCCTGACCTCGAGTGTCTCCAAGGCCAGGGCATCCACCTCATCTCTGGGCAACATTAAAAAAAAAAAAAAGAAAAAAGAAATAATTTCAAGTTAACTCTAAATTTGAGGTACTTGACAGGCAAATCATTTTGAATGAACTGAAAATAAAACTTTCATGACTTGTCTGGCCAGTAAATTAAAATTTGAACAGCTGTCATAATCATCAAAATATACAGCTTGTTGGCTGCAGCTATGCCAAGAGCAGGTTGTGCCATGAACCCTTCCATACAAAATTCCCTTCCCACCCACATCCCCAGACTAATTATCCAAGATCAGACAGCTGCCCATAATTCAGAGTGGGCAGGGGAAGAAGTACTATTTTTTTTTTAAAGGCAGATTGTTAGGCTTCAGTCACTCAAACCTCTTGTAAATAAACTTGCTCACCTGGATGTAATATCTTGGCTTCTACAGAGCCTGTTAAGTTTGATCCCAAAATCCACAATGCTCTTCTTCTTTCATGGATTTGTAATTGTATTTAGCAACTGCAATCACAGAGGTGGCCAAAGAAAGCTCGGCATGGGATGGTGCAGCGTCACGAAGCTGGAAACTCCAGTGAGGGTGTCATGATGCTTTCCATCCCAATTCCCTCAGCCACTATTACTGCCTGCAGCTCACTGACTCCTCCTGTGGGTCTGCTCTTATAGCTGGTTTTTCAGATTCTTGCAACAGCTCCTTCTGCCTGGCTTTGGGATGTCATTTGCCCTGAGAACATCAGAGAATGTGCTGATCTTCTGCTCTGTGCAGTGAGGCACAGATGGGGCTTTCACCTGTGAAGTGGGAGGTAGTGTGGGCCTGTAGAGCTTTCTGTTTCCCTTGCTGTGTATCTGCTTGATGAGGAGTGGATTGCTGTGGGTGATGCTGACGGCAGTGCAAAGCTATCCGGGCTCCACCAGGTGTCAGTGTACACCTCTCTACTATCATATTTCTCCTTTTGGGTTTTCACTCTTACCAGCCCTTCCAGATTAAAGGGATGCGCTAGAATTAAGGAACATAGAACTGAGTAATAGTGGAGGCTTATACATATGGTCTTGGCTGGTGTAAATAAGCATTATTTCATGATCTTCTATGGAAGCAGATGGAGGCTTAACTCCTGAGGAGTCTGCTTGCATGTTTTGCTGTAATACTTGCATCTTTGAATAATTCCCTGTCAGTAGGAAGAGCATGGAGCTGGGTGAGCTGTTAAGTTCTCAAGGCTTTCTTTATTTCTGAGCATATGCAATAAACATATGCAATAAATGATTTTAGGTAACATTGGTGCTGGAAGCAAAGCTTTCACAACTACTGGTATTGCCTGTGCTGTGCTATTACATACAAAATGTCAAGATTAAACAGTGTCTAAGTTTCTTTTTCTGTTAAAAGTCCATTGTAATCCTTTACTAAATAGAGAAGCATAAATGCACAATCTTAAAACTGTTCCTTCCCAGCATACTGTAGTAATGAAGTTAGTAATCTCTGATGAAAGCTTCTGAACTATAAAAGCAGAATTGTAGTTCTGCTTCCTGATACAGTATAATTCTTAGGCTTCCACAAAAAGCATAGTCTCACAGTTTTGGCACTTCTCTCTCTATATTTCAGTACATAGCTGAAAACTGCTTTTGTGATATTCAGTTTTAGGCACAGATGTCACCCTTTTCTGGCCTTGTGAGTGCTCTGGCACATTGAGTTTCTAGCTCTCTTGGATACTAACAGATCACTGCTTCCCAACTCTTGATATACTTGTCTTCACAGCCGTGTTTGGAAGGAGGAAAACAGGACTGTGGAGTTCATTCGGGTTTGTGGAAGCAGCAGTTAGAGATTTATCCAGGTTGGTTTGGTTTGTTTCAATCTACTGTCTTCGCTAGATAGAAGTAACACACGTTGCAGTGTGCATTTCAGTTAACAAGAGCCATAAACAAGGCTTTACAGGAATGCTTTTTACTACATAAGAGGCCTCTGTGCATTAGTCATCAAAACAAATAGAATTTGACTTGTTTTTTTTCAAAACAAGGTCTCAGTAACTGGGATAGACAGACAGAATGAAATTCAGAAACGGATGCACCAAAATGCTAGGAATTGCAACTCCTTTGCAAAATGGATGCTCATGAGGGTTGTCCATGAAGGGTTCCTCAGCTGAAATTTATCAGTTTTTATACTTAATCACATGCTGGTTTGTTAAATCACCCTTTCTTACTTTACTGCACTGATCCTTCTTTTCTCATCAAAATTGTGGTCTAATGCTGTGTGAACAGGTAGATGATTAATCTCTCTAGCCCTCTATGATTACATGGTACTGAGGAGCTGTTGGGAACATCTGGAAACATCTGAACACCATGTTAGGACAAAAAGCGCAAACACTTGTTGGGAATTCAGATGTTAGGCAGATATGAGAGCATATTTTACTTTGAAATATATCCTGCCTTTCTCCAGTGGGATTCTTGTTGTCTGGCCCTGCATTCGTGGTGCTTTGAACGTTCAGGTATTATCACTGGCTGTGTATAGACAAAGATGTCCCTGCTGCCTGGAGCACGACTGTTCCACTGCACCAGAGCTGTACAGTTACCTGAGAAGGCACAGTGTCCTCTGGGCTGTGTTGAGCTACTGCAGAAAGGCTCTGACCCAAGCAGGAAAATTCCTAACCGGTGGGTTACTATGGAGTAGCCACGTTTGAAGTTGAAGTGCTCATTCACAGTTGTGCAAGTCAGGGCTCAGGGACTGATGATTCGTACAGCCATTCCCAATTTGTGACAGTCTGACGGACAGGAAAACTTACATCTAAGAATGATGTTGCTTTGCCACTACCTGTAGGAAAACTGATACATTGAGGTACACTTTGAACAGTCTAGTGGTCAAGCAGTGTTGTATTTCCAGCTCAAACTAGTGATGGTCAGTGGCAGTTCCCCCTTGGCAGCTGTGCCTTCATGTGCCTTCCTGTTGCAGCAGCAGCTTGCTGTGAGAGCACACAGTTGTGTGGCAGTTATCCATACCCCCAATAAAGGTGTGCAGTTGATGCAGCCTTTCAGGCAGAGAGCAGGGATGCAGAGCATGGACAGAGTTGCCCATTGTGGCACCATCATGAGCCTGTGGGAGTTCCAGGCCAGAATCCAGGAGTTGGTTCCACTCCCAGAAAGGTCAACGAAACCCATTTGAAGTAGAATGATTTCATCCAGTGCTGCATGCTGAGTGACTCACCAATGCTACTACTACTAATAGCATGGGCTGCTTCAGGTACAAGCTAATGGAGTGCAACAGTGGTAACCAAAGTCTGGTGAGCTTGCAAAAGGACTTTTGGAACGGAGTATCTTTTATGAGGAAAGTGCAAACATAGCATGGTGCTGAAAAATGATTTGAGCTAGAAGGAAAAAACAGGTGTCACTGTGTGTTGAGGATGTTAAACATTGCTGTGTGGGATTCTGACTCTGTGCAGCACTTCTTTTTCAGCCCCTTCACCTAAAATAGAATCATAGAATTGCTCAGGTTGGAAAAGACCTTAAAGGTCATCAAGTCCAACCGCAACCCAACCATACTACCCCTAACTCTAACAGCCCTCCACAAAATCATGTTCCTAAGCAAATAGTTTTCCTTAAATCACAAAAATCTCCTTTTCTTTCACAGAAGAGCAGAGCAAATACTGAAATAATCTCCGGAGATGTTCTGCAGATATTTCTGCTTCTTCAGTCTGTGTCTTTTCCTTCAAACACAAAGGCAAGTAGAGCGTTTGTTTTGCTTTACAGGTCATCTGAATTCTGATTAACATAAGTAATGTGGATCAAAAGGAAACAATGCTTCCAGTTTTACAGCTCACTCATAGGAAGTTGGGTGCATTAAGGGGTCAGGCAGAGGGAGCAACCTGCACAGGTTCCCAAAATATAATGTACATTGATAATGCAAGCTCTTTTTCTCTGTTCAAGAGCAGGAAATTGTGGTGGTTTTGCTCACTGTCCTCTTCCACCCCATTTCTTCCAGCTGTTACTGCCATCCCTGACTGCAGTCAAGTTCTAAAGGCTCTAATATAGCTAATGCTGCACAATAACTGCTCAGTTCTGCTGTAAGCTTCTTTTTGATCTAAAATCTTCAGCAAGCGTCCAAGGACTATTAACCCAGCTTTAAAGGACAGGCCAGCAGTCCTGAGTCTCTGGAGAGAGGCAGCACCTCCTTCAGCCCTTCACAGAGCAGTATCAAACTCATAATGGCTCACTCACTTTTTCATCAAGTGAACACATGCCTCCACAAGCACACTGCACCATGGCACCTTTTTTATGGCCCCCAAACTCTGTAGCTTTCTATTTACAGGATGGCACAGCTCTGGGAACCTCACAGTGCCACATATCTGCTGTATCTTCAGTACAGAAAATGTTAATTTTGATATGTAGTGGTAATTTGGAGTGGTAGTCCTGCTCACGGTGCTGCCTTGCTGTCTGTGAAGAGCTCGCTGTTTTACCTCTCCACTTCTTGGCATTCTTAGAGGCTTTACTCTGGCAGCTGTTGGGATGCTGCCCGATGCTAACAAATAAGGATGAAAGCTTGCTTATGGGAATGATAATTAAGAAGGAGGAGCTGTTGGGCAGTAAGAGTTGTCCTGGGTTATTGTATGTAGGAGGAAAAAGGTTCCTTGTATACATTTTACGAGGAGGAATGAGAAGGGGAGATTACAGGTTACTATTAAGCTTTGTGATATATTGCCCTTGCTTGATTTGCCTTTTAAGAATGTCCTTAAGCCACTGTCTGGAAACCTGAGATTATTTGTTCAGGCTATTTGCTGTATTCCCACCTCTCTAAGGTATTAATTATTCAGCCAAGGTAAGCAGTGTCAGTAAGTGTTCATTATTTCAATGATGTACTTTTTCAAATAACTATTTTAAGTAATTTGCTTCTTTGAGCACAGGCTGGGGATGCAGCTGCACCCCTGATGTGCCCAGCATGCCTGGCCACATACTTAGCAGTACATTATTTGTGTCCTCAGGAAATGCTCACTTGGACGTGTGTCCAGTTTGGGTGGCAGTGATGCAGCATCCCTCCCTGGATTTAAGAACCTCACAATGGGATACAACAAATACCTCAGGCCCTACTTTGGTGGTACGTTGGCTCTGTGCATTTCACTATTCAAAGAACAGTCTGTAATGCTTGTGTAGAGTGGTGAGCATGCTTTAAGCTTTCAATAGCATGCCCCAGCTTAAAAGGTTGAGTTCTTTTAAAATTAGCTAGTAGCCAAGGCTGCTCTCCTTTCTATGCATCCAGTTATCTTGAATGTGTGGTGCACACATGCCTACATGGGGCAGGAGAATGTGTCCATCTATGAAGGTGAGGGAATTTATAAACTTCAACATCTCTATGAAAGATCTGACAATAATTAAATTCTGCTGTAATCATGTATGTTTTTGTTTAGAGCCTTACCCATGTGATTTTCTGCTTTATTTTTGTTTGTCAGTTTACTCAGACAGTGGACATAGAGGAATTCTCCTTTCCAGAAATATGGCTTCTGGCACATGCATTCCCGCCACTCTGAGACAAAAACTAAATCTCCTTTAAACCCCTTGTGAAGCTCCAGAGAGACAGCATCTGAGGGGCAGTCAGTTATTTAGGAACTCACCTGAGGCTACTGTCAGCTGTCAGGTCTCCCACCTCCTAGGACCTCTTGCAACCTCTTGCAGTGAAAGGGTTTCGGGACGACTTTCAGCACCTGAAAAATAATGATGAAAGCTTACAAAAATACTGTGAACATTTTTCATAAACTTTGCTTGTCTTCCAGTACTCATTACCACAACAAAGCCTACTAGAAAAATTACCTATCAGCTTTCTCCAGGAGTTGCACATTTCTCCGTTGCAGCTCCTGCAGATTGACTTCCTGCTCTTTGCAGCTTTGAGTTTCTTCCTTTTTCTGACCATGGTGGTACATTTCTAGGACAACACGACATTTAGCAGCTTGTTATGCACAAAATGTCTCACGCAGGAACAGAACAGCTCTGCTAGAGCCTGTCACATAAGCAAACTGAAGCTTCCAAATTGCATAACAGACACATTATACCAGACGATGCCATCTAGAGCCATGAGATACAAATGGTCAGGTTCAGGTTTGACCTCCTCCAGAGTTTTAGTGGGTTTCAGGTGTTTAACAATGAAGGAAGGATGTAAATGGCAGCTATATTAAAATATATATACACATATTTTATGCAAATGACATATTTTTTTGATTTGGAACATTTCAGAAACGAACAAAAGAACTATAACAGCAACAACACAAAACCCTCTAAATCAGAAAGAAATTCAGGAAGTGTCCTATAGACTTTCCTGCATGTGATTAAGAGATGAGGAAAAGGAGTTAGAGCAAGTCCCACGCAGAAAGGCATTGCTGTGTTACCACAGGGGCCGAAGGCAGTGCACCAAGCCATGCTCTGAGCAGGACATCCATCCGTGTGCATCAGCTGCCCTCTGGTGGTGGATTTCAAAAGTTGAGGATAGGAAGTAGACAACCAGGATTCAGGACTACCTGTGACACTGTGTCTGCTGGTCCTTCGGGTTTCTGCAGTTTCAGAGAGCACGCTGTGCTGGGGTAGCTGGGAGCAGTGCCTGTGCTGGGCAGCGGTTTTACTGCACCTTACATTCTCTTTCCTTCCACAGGAGAACCTGTTCAAATTGCAATGAGCCTGGACATTGCAAGTATTTCTAGTATATCTGAGAGTGACATGGTAAGTGAATTATTTTGCATAAGAGAGAATAGAATCTGCTTGAGAGACTTTTCATGTTACCTTGTGGTCAGCACCGAAACTGTTCTATTCAAGCTGCTTTGCTTTTAGTGTGACCACCTCTTGGGGGTGTGAGGAGAACTGGGCTCTCCTACAGCTGCAGGTTATGTGGATGCCATAGAAATATGGGCTTGTTAGTGAAGAGATGGCCCTGCTGGTTTAAAAAAAAAAAAAAGTCTGAAAACAAAAATCATCTTAGAGTGTATGTGGGAAACATAATCAAACTGTGATGACCTGTTGGTTCTACTGCATGCATTTGGAGCTCAGCTTTGACGGGTTAAACAAACACATTGTGCCTTGTCACACGTGGCATGTGCCTACAGTTGATGGCATGCAGGTGTTCTGGATGTGCATCCCCTGCTTCTTCTTCTTCCCAGGATTACACAGCCACCATCTACCTGCGGCAGCGCTGGACAGACCCACGCTTAGTCTTTCATGGCAACAAGAGCTTCACGCTGGATGCTCGTCTAGTGGAATTGCTCTGGGTACCAGACACGTACATCGTGGAGTCAAAAAGGTCCTTCCTGCACGATGTCACTGTGGGGAACCGCCTCATCAGATTGTTCTCTAATGGCACTATCTTGTACGCCTTAAGGTAAACCAACCTTTGGCTTCCCCGATGACGGTGGTTAGAACAGATTTCCAGAATTATGCAGAGATTAAGGAGCATCAGGGAACATGAGCAGGAGATCCTGGTGGAGCAACTCCCTGCCATACCTGTGAGAAAGGCACTGGGGTGATACACTCCTAATAGTGGTGGACCCTGCCCTGTTGCCGTTGGACAGATGGAGGGGACCAGATTCTTTACACAGAGTGGTGAAGTGCTGGAGAGCCCAGAGAGGCTATGGATGCCTCGTGCCTGGAGATGTGCAAGGCCAGGCTGGATGGGGCCCTGGGCAGCCCGGTCTAATGGCTGGCAACACTGCCCATGGCAGGAGGGTCAGAACTTACATGATCTTTAAGGTCTACTCCAATCAAAGCCATTCTATGATGAAATTGTTTGCTAATCTGATGCCACTTAGCTGTGATTTTTTCTCTTTAGCAAGAAGTGTTTGTGTACGTGTACTGTGGAAATGTATGTTGTAACTGTGTGAGGTCTTAGTGTTATCTCTTCCCAGTTTAACATAACTGCCAGTGACTTCAGCTTATAGCAGCTTTACTTGCAGTGAATTCATTTACCCTCTGCACTGAAGCAAGTCAGGGTGTGCATGCAGTTAGTTACTGTGCCTCAGGTGGCAAGGGGTAACTTCTTTGTAAGTGCTAACAGTAGCAATGGAAGCATTTGAATCTACATGGCATCTCCGACTCACAGCAGGGCAAAATTCCTCTTTTGGTTACATTTTCATCAGTATGGCTGCAGAGAGTGTATCTTAAGGAGGGTTCTTTCTGATTATAGCAGCTCCTTCATTTTATAGATCAAAATGATCTAAATGACAAATCAGGATCCTTGTAGTGGTCTTCTCTGATATGTAGAAATAGTACAGGTGAAAGGTAGAAATACTGCATTATATGTTTTTATTGTGATTTTTGGAGTTCTTTCTCCTACAGAATTACTACTACTGTTGCTTGTAACATGGACCTGTCAAAGTATCCCATGGACACACAGACATGCAGACTGCAGCTAGAGAGCTGTAAGTATAACAAAACCTGGCTGGATGTTTTTTTGTTCCTACTGAATATGCATCTTAAATATCTGCATTTATCACAGTGAGCTCCTGAAGTAGCAAATATTAATGTCCAAAAGAAAACAACTTTCTTTCATTATTCTTCAAATGTTTGTGCTGTAACCTACAGATTAGAGGACTTTTGCCACTGCAATTAAAATAAAAGTGGTAACAAAACCTATCTTTATCAAGGAGTAAATTGTTCAGTTGAATATAGAAAGAATTTAATACTAGTTGCTGGTTTTCCAAATGTGGTCCCTTTCTGCACAACTTCCCACATTGCTTCTGAAACCTGCTGTACCTCCCAAACCTGCCAGCCTTCTCTGTGAGGGTTGCCTGTTACAGTAATAGAGATGGTGAGACCCTTATCAGCAGGAGGAGTCTCAGCCTTGCAGATCTCAAGAAAAGGAATCGTCAGTGAGTTCTGCTCTTAAATTAAATGTTCATCTGTGGCAAAGTTGGCTAAGAACTCTAAGAACAGGTAAATGCTCAAAGAAAACCTGGGATACGACAGGGCTTTTCCCAGGAGCTCAACAAGAGCAGTACTGCTGTTATGGATCTGTGAAGCTCTGCAACAAGCAAGCAACTTCCTCCCACTTTGTGTCACAAAAGGAAATGCTTGAAATCTCAGTGCTGAAAAGAACACATTAAATTTCTGGGGCTGCAGCGTGAAGCACCTAAGGAAGCACATATTACTTTCACATTAAAATCATATTAGTTCACCGTGGTTAACTTTATTACAAAGAATAGCTCCTGAAATAATAATGATTGCCCTCTTCTGCTAAAGAATAGCTTGTTTGGGTCTGCTTTAAATGTGATTGGGTCCTACATCATGCTGCATAATTCCAATGAAATTACATGCACATTGCCCACTGGAGGCTTCGCTAGGATAAGTGCCCAGAAATAATGCTGTTTAAACATTTGCCAGATGAATTAACAACAATTTATCATTTATTATAAAATTTTCTCTATTAATCACAATTTATAAAACTGTTTAGAAATTTTCAGCAGTCACGTGCTTATGATTCTACATAGGGATTCATACCCTGGACACCTACTGTATGAGCTCATCATACTCAAGCTCTGGTAATTTGTATCTAATTAAAAAAAAACAAAATAAAACACCACAATTAGGTAAAAATAGAACTGCAACTGCATCTTATTCCTTCTACGAGGATGAACAGGTCATTATCAGTATGAAGGCATCCCTACTCATTTTCCCGTAGAAGGGCACTTAAAAAAAGAATCAAGTCAGTGAGATTGATAGGCTTTTTTCCTCAATTAAGTGTAAAATGTTGAAGTGAATGGCTAGCTGATGCCTGAGTACAAGCTTCATCCCTCAGACTGGAGTATGGGATGAAGGAACCTGACATTGTGTGATGCCATCGCTTATGTTCCTGGAGCAATTTTGCAGCCAGTGCATATATGTATGTAGGCTGTTCTGATAAGAACACGGACTGTTAATCTCATCTATCCCAGTGTTTTGGAGCAGGAATTCAGTGTTACCTAAGCACTAAACACATTTACTTGTAAAGAGACCTGGGCAACATGTAGTCAGAAGAGCCTGGTTTATAACTGCGTGAGAGTCTGAGCTCCACACTCTCAAATAAGAACACCTTTTCTGATATTCTGAAGCAGTTGAATAGATGGGCCAGAGCAATGTGCTTCTTCAACCTGGTAGGGGGCTCAATGCGATCTGTACTCTGTTTTAGTTTTAGGTTTTTTTAACTGTTGCAATCCTCTGCTCACCTTATGTGACCAAAAGGATTACGCTCAAGGCTTGAGATCGCTGCAGTAGTTTTATCCTGCTCTGGGCAATCGATCTGGGGATGCCATGAATGTTAAATAATCTTTAACAATGTTAAAATAATTTAAAATACACAACGAAGATGTCTGAAACGGGTTCTCTGCACTCTTTCATGTTGTGCATCACTCACAATGATGTGTGCTCCTAAGTCAAATCAAAACCAGCAGACTGAAAACACACAAGCAAAAGGAAGAGCCAGCTTCCACCAATAGCTGATGCAGTGAGAGGGTCTTTGTGCAGCCTACAATGTGGAGGTGACGTTTCTGCTCCCACCCAATGGGGAAGGCAGAGCAACAGCTGGGCATTATTGGGTGACCGCAGTAATACCAGTCTTTGTTCTCTGTAGGGGGATATGATGAAAATGATGTCATCTTCACGTGGCTGAGAGGAAATGACTCTGTCCACGGCATAGAAAAGTTGCGGCTCTCTCAGTACACAGTGGAACGTTACTACACCCTCATCTCAAAGTCACAGCAGGAAACGGGTAAAGCAGTGAAGGAGAAAAGCAAGAAAAACCCTAAATATCTCCCCTCTCACCTCCCCTCTCTTCTACAGACTACTGCAGTTTGACTCAAGAAACCTCAAGCAAAACTTAATTGTACGAAGAGATGGGAAGAAAGTGAAATCCAGTTCACTGCAATCAGGATATTCTGTGGGATGGAAAGATGAATCTTTTAATATTTT